AAACTGGAGGAAGTGTCTGGAGAGAGGGAAGTCTGGGCATCTTTGCTTAGACTGCTGCCCCCGCAACCCGGTCCCGGATAAGCGGAGGAAAATGGATGGATTCTCCAGTGGTAATCCAATTTTAAGGGGTTATGTTTACATTGCATTCTGTGGAACTAAAGTTGCTCTTAGACCTGGTGGTCATTGGCTTGAATGAGAAACCATATCAGCAAATCAGCTGCTGGAATAGAGCACTTCATCTTCAGTAATTCAGTTGTCAGTATGAGGGCACAGTGGTTGTACTGTAAATGTGCAAAGGGTGTCATGGTGAAATTTCACATGTGCTCAGTTTATTGGCAGTGAGGAAGGTTAAATCTAGTGGACTAAATGGCTTACATTCCTTCTTTCTCTTTTGGTAACAATAATGTGTTGAAAGTATAAAGTGTAACAGTATTTATGATGTTCACAGTTCTGCACATTCACTTTGCTGATGGTCTTTATAGCTACACTATAACACTTAGTAGGGACTCAGTGGTTTGCTCATTAGCAGCTTTGCAGTAGTTGTTGAGGGTGGTGAAAAGAATTAGAGCCCTACCACATCCAGTGCTGGAGTTCAAAACCTAGTGTTCAGAGGCATGTCTCCTAACACATGTATACCACAAAGTTCTCCCTTGGGGATCAATAGCATTACATTCTATGTGTCTGTTTGTCTCTGTTTTGCCCCCAGGGAGAACTGTCTAACACTGGTCAACACAGAGTCATGTCCCCTTGTCCAGGCCTTCCTGGCTGAGTGTCCAGGCCGCCTATTCCTGGGTCATACCCGTACACAGCTAAAGACAGGCCTTCAGACACAGGAGAGACATCTCTTCCTCTTCACTGACATGCTGGTAGTTGCCAAGGCCAAGTAAGTTCCCCTCTGTGTGTCTTGTGAAATGATACAGAGAATGAAGAGAGAATGTGTGTTTATGTGGTGGTGTGAGTGGGACAGAAAATAGAGACAGGGAGACATAAACAGGTAAAAAGAGTGAAACTAATTTGAGAAACCAAGAAACAACATTCCATATATTTCTATTTGTTTTTCTAACACTGGTAGCAAGCATTAATCCGTGGAGGATGAAGCTGCTTCCCTCTGCAGTCATTCTCTCCATTCTTCTCCCCTTACTTTTCTGCTTCTTTTGCTTCTCCTGTCCTCATTTTCCCCGGTATATAATTATGTCCCAGCCAGTTAATCCATATGAAGCCTCGCTCAGATCAAAGCCACACTGCCATGCGTCAGGCTTACAATATGGGCCTCCCCACCCACAAACCACACACACTACAACACTCATACAGTACACATCTAAAATAGAAACTTAATCATTTTTCTTCTGTACTAGAATCTGCACTAAATTGATTCTTCACAAATGCTTCAAAGAACATTTAGGAGAAACATTTCTGTATGAGGAACCCCAGTGCATTTCTTTCTTGTTTTTCAAAGAGTTCCACAAGGAAGTTACCAGGATCCACTTACATTTGATGATTGAATTATTTTTAGAGGATAAACACAGGCAGTCTCATAAAAGTGTATTTATCTACCACTACATCTATCATTATATATAAATGCACCCATACATTCCCTGCTATTACACAGATATAAATCCACACAAATGCTCATACATATAAATTAACTTGTTCTCTCTCTCTCAAACACACACATGCCAGCACACATTCCTCTAACTCACCCTGTGTTGAGCCACAATGTAATAAAAACAATTATACTCCATGTGCTGGAAGGGTCAGCTCCACCCACTGGCACATGACTCCCAGGGCAGATGACAGAGGTCCTGCTGTGTCTGCACTGAAGGGTGTGTGTACTGTAAGTACACAGGCACACACAGCAGGTCTGTTTTTGTCTCTACAGGTCTGTGTGTGTACTAGTGCATGCATGCATGCATGCATGTGTGTGGACTTCAAAAATGTCAGTCTGCACTTTAACTGGCCAATGGACAGAAAATGAATAGACAATAATGTGATAACTTTTAAATAATTTAAGTAATTCATGAAAGAACTATGCCAAATAACTTGCAGATCCCAGCTTCTCAGAGGTGAGGATTTTCTTTTTTGTTTTTTTTTTTTTACTTTAATTTTTAGTCTTTTGGAACTGTAGGACAAAATAAATAAGTTGCAGATGTCACATTGGGCCATTGGAAATGGTAATGTAGCACCCTATATTTTTTAACTGTTTATTTATTTGTTGATTAATTGATTTTGCAGGTCTCCTAGTCATTTCAAAGTGAAGGCGCAAGTTCGTGTGTGTGAGATGTGGACGGGCAACTGCATGGAAGAGGTGTGTGAAGGAAGCACCAGCCCAGAGAAAAGCTTTGTCATGGGCTGGCCCACCTGCAACTGTGTGGCCACCTTCAGGTACACACACTTTTGTCTACTAAAGTAGACTACAAGCTGTGAGCTCATTTTTATCAAAACAAGTCATCCTCTGCCCCGGAGTGTGCTGTGAGACGAGCGTGCAGGGGATGTCTACAAAGTGCAACGCTCAAAAGAGATAGGCCTACTACAAAAATATTCAATAACTTTATTCTTACCCAGTGTAGTGTTACCAGAATTGCTTCACACATCAATGGCCATCTGCTGGTTATTGTTAGGTTGGAGCAAGTGAGATAGGACCCAAGGATGCAGACTACCAGGAAGTTCACAAGAAAGAAATTTATTGTAATAGAAGAAAGAGTAAACAAGATGGAGGAAAACAAAAACCATGGCTGAGCAGGTTCAGGACAGAACAGACAGGCGAGGGGGGGGGGGGGTTAGGGGTGGGGGTTG